CAAGCCCTGCCGCTGCCCCAGCTGCCCTGGAACCATGGCTGTCAGGCTCTCAGAGACGCTGGACAGGGTGTGGCCAAGGCTGCTCAGCCAGCCAGAGACCGCCTGTGGCTGGGCCAGGCCTGCATGTGGTGGGCACGGGGGCACACGTGTGCCTTTGGGCCCAGTGGAGCCTCAGGGAAGACTGGGCTTCCTGCCCTCTGGACCAGCGAGAGGGACAGGCTGGGTGTGGGTGAGGTTCCAGTGGCGTCAGGGCTGGTCCTGGGATGCCCGGCACTGCCGCGGGCATGAAGGGGTGCCATGTGCACCCGTGCCGATCTGGCCTCCAGGACTCCAGCGGCAGGGCCACACAGGCCGGGGCAGTCGGGCTCGTGGGGGATGGGGCATCCTTGAAGTGGCAGTGTGGTGCCGGGCTGGCTGAGGCTGCAGCAATGGCAGCAAAAAAAAAAGCCGGGCCCAGCGACACTGGTGATGTCACTGGGTAAGGTGGGTGGGACCGCCAGGCAGGCGTCCAGTGGGTTTTGTGGGAAATGGTGAGCCACAGACTGCTCTGGAGTGGGAGGACCCAAGGACGGCACTCTCCTGGGGAGGGAGACCTGGCTCCTGTTTGAGAGCGAGCTGCTGGACAGGGATGTGGGCGGAGGGGCTGGCCCTGTCCTGGGTCTCACCAAGATGGCCTTATTGCGCTCCTGATCTCTGAGCAGGAAGAAATCCACATCCCCAGACATGTGGAAAGGATTCGCCGAGCGCTCTGGAGCTTTGGCAGCCGCTGTGGGGGAAGGCACCTCAGTGGGAGGAACAGGCCTTCCAGGTGGCGATCTGGGCCCTGCACCCTTCCAGCCCAGCAGGTGACAGCTTGACTGAGTGGTTAGTGTTCCCTGGACCCAGCCACACCTGCAGCCCACCCCTGGGCCCTCCAGTTCTGTGAACTCTGTAGTTTAAATGCTCTGGAGTTGCCCAGGGGGAGGCTGGGAGGGAGGGTGGGCTGGGGCAAAGGGCCTGCCTCAGGGGGACCAGCGACGGGAGAGGGGCTGTGCAGGGCTGCTTGGCAGAGTGGCCACTCGTCCCTCTCTCGGGCCCTGCGGTCTCCCCACTGACCGATTCAGAGCGCTCTGGGGCAGATGCCAAGGGCCTGCAGGTCAGCCTCCCAGAAGCCCCACCCGCCCTTCCCGCAGAGCGCAGAGCGGGAGCTCCAGGGTCTGGGCAAGGGCCACACCCTGCTGGCAGGTGGCAGCCTCCTGGCCCCAGGGTTACCTTTTCCCTTTCTCGCCTCTCTCTTCGGGTTTTCCTCAAAGACTGGAGAAGGGCTATCGGTGGAGCCTGGGCTGTTCTCTGCGGAGACACAGAAGGGAGGCTGAGGCGGTCCAAGCTTCTCTGAAATGACCATGGGGTGAGGACAGAGCAGGAGACCCCAGCCCCTGCCTTCACTCATCCTCCCTTAGGCCCATGGGAAGGGCCCCTCCTCCCCTGCGGCCAGAGGCCAGCACCATGGGGAGCTCCTCACACCCCCACCCACTGGTGAGGCCTGACCCCTGCAGGAAGCGGGCGTTCGGCCAGTGCTCCCCCAGCCAGGAGCATCTGCAGCTTGGAGAGCCAGGTCCCTCGGACAGGGCCACTGGGGCTGTGCCGAGCTGGCGGCGTGGGGGGCCGGGTGGTCCCAGAGTCACTGTGACAAGCACCAGCGTGCAATGGCAGGGGGAGGCAGGCCTGGGAGGTGAGCAGTGAGCCCGAGGCCAGGCCCTGGGCAACAGTAGTGGGGCGCGAGGGAAGTGAGGGAGACAGAGAGTCCTGGGGGCAGGTGAGGGTCGGGACCACAGACAGGCCGGCGGAGAGGGCGAGGCGGGAGGGGGTGGCGAGGCCTGTGGGGCCTGTAGGAGCTCTGGCTGGTCGTCATTGCTGTTTTCTAATTGTCTTTGCCGGTTCATGGTTTAATTTCTAGGCAGTGAAATTTGATGAACTACATCATAAAAATCAGAAGATACCATGGTTAATTCAAAGTCTGAAACAAGGCCACAACCCTAATAAAAATTAACTTTTAAGAAAAATGTAGGCTTTTGCCATAGGGCGTGTGTGCTCGCCAGAGAGAGCCAAAGGTGGAGAGAGGGGAAGAAATCACCCCCTAGGGGCAATGGCCATTCCACCATCCCTTCTCCTCCATTCTCCTCTTGGGATTTGGGCATGCATATACATGTGTGCTTTTCAAGTGGGTTTGGTACTCGAACCACAGTTGACCATGTGGAAGTCCAGCGCCTTAACCACCACGCCACCTGCTGCCCTGAATTAAGGGTTTTTCTTAATCACCAGCCCAATGCACATGCGTAGCCAAACAGCACGCAGTGTGGGTTCGAGGCACCGAGGTGCTGTGTGGAGGAGGCGCTGCCCTGCCAGCCCTGCACCCTGACTCCCAGACCGCTGCGTGTCCACCGAGGCAGTCTCCGTGCACACTTGCAGGCCCTTCCCTTGTCACACGTTTACGCCTAGGCTGCCATACTGCAGGGGTCCTCAGGCGGTCCTGTGGAGAGGTGGGTGTGGAGGGAGGCAGGCCTCCAGCCAGCTGCCAGGCGGGTGGGCAGCCCGTCAAGCCTCAAGTGGCTGGAGATGACACCCGAGCCAGGACCGCTGCTAAGCACTCCTGAATCCGGGCCCCAGGGGAACCGGGCTCCGACATGTTTGTTGCTTGAAGCCACGTTGTTCGAACGTGGGGGAGTGCTCTCTCTCTCTCTCTCTCTGTCTCTCTGTCTCTCTATCCATCCCTCTATGCAAATAGAAACAAACAAAAACCACTGGGGTGCTGTCCTTTTCTCTTTTTCAGAAGAAATAAATTTTTAAAAAAGTTTATGGAAGAAAATAGTTAAAGTATAAATTATTTTGGTACAAATTTTTTGAAATCCAAGCATGGTGGTTTCATAATGCATACCTCCCGTGAACACCCTGTGGTCCAGCCCGTCTCGGGCTCCCAGAATCATGGTCTCTGCGTTTCCACACGCTGGGAAAGGGCCTAATCTCTGGTTCAGGTGAGCCCGGATGCCGGCCCCACCTGGTATGTGGGCTTGGGTCCAAATCTGGAGGTCACAATGCGGCCCTGGAAGAAGGCCCCCCCAGATACCTCCTGCGGGGGGGCAGAGAAAAACTGCATTCCTGGGTCAAAGGGGACTCAGGGAAGGGAAGTCGGGGGCAAGCAGTTTTCCTAACACTTGAGCCAAGTGCCTGCATGTGCGTATTCTTGACCGTGCGCACACGTGTGGACATACGTGGGAACCTCTCCAGCAGAGCGCCTCCACGTCAACGCAGGCTCTGAGGCGCCGTGGTCGTGGTCCCGCAGGGTTTCCCTAGTGGTGCCCAAGGCAATGCTGGATCTGCAGTTCAGTGAAGGGCAGTGTTGACTAGGGACAGGACGCGTCGATGACCTCGGAGCCAGGACAGCGTGAAGATGTGTGTGCGACCGCCGTCGCTGGCCTGCCTGTGCCGGGCCTCAAACCGCCAGCTCTGCTCCGCTTGTCTGGAGCACAAATGCACAGCCCCTCAGGGTCGTAGGGCACCCCCAACTAACACCCCAACCCTCCTCAGCACCTTAAGATGAATCAAGATGTTAAATGTGTTAAATCCTTTGTCTTACACTTGCACGATTATCGTTCTTCGTTTGTTGTTTGTGATGGGGGTGCTGGCCAGAGAGACCCAGAGAGGGTACGTGAGAAGCACTCCCCAGGGAGGGTGGTCGCAGTGCAATCCCTCTTGGGACTTGGGCATACACACGTGCCTAGTATACTTCTCTTCTTTCTCTTTCCTCCTGCCTTCCTTCCTTTCTTCTTTCTTTCTCTCTCTCTCTTTTTTTTTTTTTTGAGAGATTTTTCCTAAAGGGCATGTGCACTTACCAGAGAGACAGAAAGTGAGAAACCACCCCTAGGGGGAGCGGCCCCATCGTGATCCCTGCCCCCCCCACCCCC